CGGTTGAACGAAACGTTTGATGATTGCATCGATCGGTTTTGGATGGACACCTGTACCATCTTAACGCTAAATATACTGCGATCGGTTAAATGGTTGGTTTGAAAATTTGGTTTAAAATCTTGCATTTCTCCTCGTTCATTTAATATTAAATCAATTGCAATATTATTCGATTAATCAGTTCTCTAAGATTTGTTTTTCTAATAAGAAATATTTATCGTTTAACCAGTTCACTGCATTCGACGAGTATACGAGTATACACGTCCGATTATCAAAATCTAAATCAGTTTTCAATTTTTATTTCCTTTTGTTTCTGTTAATACTAGGAAAAATCTATCATCTGGTTTTTACACCTCTATCTTGTATCCAGTTATTTGGCTGGTTGTGTGAATAGGTACATTTAGTGTTAGGTCTTGGTTACATCTTGGTTAGGTTAAGTAAGAAATTTTAGTCTCGAGAAAAATTAGTTTAATCTGTCTAAACAGATTTTATTGATTTTATTATGTGTATGTCAATGAATTATGTAAGTAGTTTCTTACAAAAATAGCAAGGTCAATAACTGCAATTATCGACCAAGTTGTTTGAATCTAAGATACGTATTAGGGCATCGTATATATGGATTCTAAGAATGAATTTTCATGAGATTGCTACTTCCAGTGATGAATCTGTTCATTGTGCACGTGCAACGTGTATGTTCAGATAAGGATAGGAATGGATGTGTTGTTCGCTCGAACATTTCATTTTTCTGTCTTCACGGATTTATGTTATTGTTTCTTCGTAGAATTAAATGGAAATATGCGTGGTGAGATTTAACAGTAGCACGGTTGAAAGTGTGCTGAGCAGTAGAAAGGGAAATGTGAGCCTATTTTTCGCTATCATGGTTCAGTGTCGTGCGATGTACGCAGTTGTAGCGAGTGTTCGCGTGTGTGTACAGAAGCTCATGTTTAAAATCGACCGCTGCTCTCGTTTTCACGTATGCCTCAGTGAAAAACACTGACTTATAAATAAAATATGTTTGTGCATCGCTATAGAAGGATTCTGACTTTATTATTACAAAGTATTACATGAAAATAGAAAACTTAGTCGAATAATTGGGTACAAAAGTAGAATATTTTAAAGTCATATACGAAATAAGAAGCTTCAAAGTTATAAATTATCTATTTCTTCATTAAAGGAGATTAAATATTAAAAAAAATTTTTTTTTTAAGAAGTTTCTTTAAATCCGTTTACTATATTCTACAGAATTTATGAGGCTATTTTTTAAACGACACTTTTAGTGTTATTTATTATTATCAATATGGTATTATTACATTCCACTTTCTAGTTTGTGTCACATGTTTTTTAACACTTCCACTTCTGGCGACAGTTAGGGTTGATTACGTTTGGATAATTACAAGTTACATGACTTTAGTTTTAGTTATCTTGATGATATCATTAATTTTTCAATACGTTAAAATCCTTTTTAACATCTCCGGATTAAATGCAAATTATTCTGCCGTCGGCTGTATTTCCATATCTTTATTGACCCGCTCTTCTTGAACTGTTCGAATGATATTTTTATATTTAATACGGCAGCACATTTTCTCTGAACTATAATTCTTTTATTTGAATCGTGAATGTTGGATTTAATTTCGTCTGTGAAAATCACGTTTTTTCAGTCTTTCGTTTTCTTCAATCTTCGATTTACCTAAAAGATTATTTAAATGTAATGAAATAATACTATGTCGACGAACTAACCTCGTGCTTAACAAACAATATATTAAGAAACAAATACGTGTTTTTACATTATCAGGCATTCAAATAATATAATGAAATAGCTATTAACGTGACCTGCTCCTAAATATCACTGAATGCATTAATTTTTATTACTTTGGTAAATTTCACATTCATTTGTATTGAACAAAATAACAAGACACTGTCTTTTTACTAATTGCAAACGTCATACATATTGTAGACAATAATTTAAACAAAGTCATGTTAGTGAATAATTTCTAATACGAACTACTGCACATATATCCAAGACAGGATGATTCACATCGTTTATACATTAATTTCATACAGTTTTTTAGTATTCTCGGTTAAATGTATATTTTTATAGCCACTAAAGCTATCTTCAAGTACAACTTTACTTTGACACGACTCATAATCCCTGGACTGGAATCAAAATTTTTACTTTATTTTATTTTTATCTGCTGTGACTTCAATTTTTGCTCGCGGAGCACTTCGAATTTACGATTCTTTCGAAATGTTTGTTAACTCTTTTGCGCTTTAGTCTATTGAAAAAGAAAACTTAGCCGATTGCTACACTTTAGCGATGATTCAGCGACCGTTAAACATGAATCACTTTTATTCTCTTTCAAGATTTTATAGTACGATTAATTTCATTAGAAGGAGATACTTGTTTAAAGTAGTACAATTAAAATAGATAGCCACAGTAAAATAAAGTATGAAATTACTGTTGCGTTAAATAGTGAGAAATATACTGTAATGTCAATTAATCTCTTTTGTTTCAAAAGAAAGGACTCGGTAGAACAGTTTCATTTGCTTCGAATACCATTCTTTTCTTAATTATATGAAACGAAGTTTCTTTTAGTTCGCGTCATGAATTATTTAGTCGGTTGATGGTGTCACAGTTGTTGAGACAGAACCTTTAGAAATCCTTTGCATGTTAAACCGATTGTTTCATTGTCACATGAATTTACAAACAAGTATTATATTAAATAGTAATCATCGTGTATTAACTTTGAATGAAGAAATAATATATCATTGAACCTAGTGTCACACGATCGAAATATTTTTTAATACTATAAATTACATGAAATTAAATTGATTGTTTCTGTATTATTTTAGAAATAATATATTACATTTTCTTGTATAACGCAGTAAATTAACACTAGAACAACCGCACTCGTCAAAATGAGAGATTTTAGTTTCTTTATTTCTCACTTATTGACACAAGTATTAAATATTCGAAATGACTTGAAGAATATATAGTTTCACTTCAATACTATAATCAATATAAAAAGAATATCTATTGTTATACAAGAATTACATGTTATTCATGTTAAATCCTCGGTTGTTCCAGTGTTAATCATGCTCTATACTAAGGTATATAACGAAACACAAGGTTTAGACGCTCACAGAAATGGCTGGGAGAATACTTTAGGTGAAATGCTACCTTTACGGTCTGGCCCTGCCGATAAACCTTCAAGATTCTTGCCTGCCATATCTCTCGACCTGTCCAAAATACCGTACGATTGGATTGTTTCTAAAGGACGTTTGTTCCATGCGCGTACCTACATTCTCGGATCCCAGGTAGTTTCTCGTTCCATGAATTTCGGGCTTTCACCGTTGAAAACGTCGAACCTTTGTCTCTTCTTTTATACCTGAACGAACAACGTGATTTATTTTAAACGTTGCCAGCAGCCATTCGGGTTCAACCAATTTAGAAATAATTTCGGATAGCGTTGTTCACGTTATCCTTGTGTTTCTGTGAGTCGTGCAAAATGTCACTATACGTGGAACATTGAAAAAGTTCTTGAAAAGTGTAACTGAAAACATAAAAGATTGAGTTAATCGCTTTATTTTCGAAGGTGTATTCTATAAATACATCGCAAAATAAATCTCAACAAACTTACGCACATATCAATTAATTTTTAGTGTAATATTTAATTTAAGAATAACTAACATTGTCTAGGAATCATTTTCTAGACCACCTTATATATTCGTTATATCAAAATGAAGTAATGGTTAAACGAAGCATAATATTTCTTTACTAAATTTCGTGAGCGCTAATATCTTTGATTATAATATTGAAAGATCTCGCTTATACATTTTGTAATTGATAAGACAGTAATGTGAAATTACTTATATAATAAGTAATGTAATAAGAAACGAAGAATCCAATCTACTTTTCAAATGACGCATAATCTCTTGAAGATGATGTAAACATTTTTTTACGTACCTAAGAATTTATCTATAGTCCGTATTTCCGATTAGAGGTTTGATAGAAATGAATCACGATTATTGGTCAAGGATTTACGTTCATGTATTATCTGATTACATAAAAGTTCTGATGTCGTAATGTTTACGATTACTCGCATTTTCGGATAAACGGCGTGTATTGTTCGACGAATCATTGTGAAGTTACAGCAATTACGCCAGCAATCACCTGTAATACAACCTGAATTTGTTGCTTACAGAAATCCTGGTGAACCTTAAATCACCACGTTACAGAGAGACTCGTCAAGCAGATAACGATAGCGTGAATAAATCACGATTCG